TAATGATTGATTGATTTAATGCTTATTTATTTTTGCAAAAGAGAGACAGAGGCGATCTGGGGAGAGGCAGAGGGAAAGGGAGACACAGAATCTGAAGCAGGCTCCAGCCTCTGAGCTGTCAGCACAGAGCCGGACGCGGGGCTTGAACTTACGAACCTGAGCCAAAGTCGGATGCTTAACCGACTGAGCCACCCAGGCGCCCCGAGTACTTTGGTTTTGAGAGAGAGAGAAGGAGTGTGGGGGGGAGGGGCAGAGAGAGGGGAGCAGAGGGAAGCAAGCTCCATGCTGACAGCAGAGAGCGCCACGCAGGTCTCCAACCCATGAACTGTGAGATCGAGACGTGAGCTGAAGTCAGATGCTTAGCTGACTGAGCCACCCAGGCACCCCAACACTTTTATTTATCTATTTATTTATTTAGAGATAGAGTGCAAGTGGGGAAGGGGCAGAGAGAGAGAGAGAGAGAGAGAGAGAGAGAGAGAGAAACTCAAACAGGCTCTGTCCTGTGAGTGCAGAGCCCGATGCGGGGCTTGAATTCATGAACCGCGAGATCATGACCTGAACTGCAGTTGGACGCTTAACTGACTGAGCCACCCAGGCACCCCCGCCCCGCCCCCACTTTATTATTTTTTTAAATTTTAAGATTTTTTTTCGAGAGAGAGACAGAGGGACAGAGAGAGAGAGAGAGAGTGCGCGCGCGCGCATGAGTGGGGGAGGGGCAGAAGGAGCCGGAGACACAGAATCTGAGGCAGGCTCCAGGCTCCGAGCTGTCAGAACAGAGCCCGACACAGAGCCTGAACCCATGAACTGTCAGATCATGACCTGAGCCAAAGTTGGATGCTTAACCCACTAAGCCACCCAGGCGCCCCTATTCCATTATTTTTTAAAAAATGTTATTTATTCATTTTGAGAGGGGAGGGGCAGAGAGAGAGGGAAAGAGAGAGAAAACCAAGCAGGCTGCGTGCTGCCAGCACAGAGCCCAACATGAGGCTCGAACCCATGAAACCTGGGTCATGACCTGAGCCGAAACCAAGAGCCTAACCAACTGAGCCACCCAGGCGCCCAGAATGTTCTTGTATGTGTCTTGTTCCATACAGATTGTCACTTTCCTCATTCACTCACCAGTATGTCTGAGTCACCTTTATTTTAGTTTATTTATTTGAGGGAGAGAGAGCAGAGGAGGGCAGAGAGAGGGAGAGAGAGAATCGCAAGCAGGCTCTGTGCCTCCAGTGAGGAGCCCAGCTTGGGGCTCAAACTCACGAGCCACGAGATCATGACCTAAACCGAGATCAAGAGTGGGATGCTCAACCAACCGGGTCACCCAGGCGCCCCTCGTCTGAGCCTCTTAAACAGCCGGGTGGCATCAGGCTGTACCGCAGTTGGTTGAGCCACCCTCCTCCTGACCAGCCCGGGCGCACACACCTGTCGGGGATTTGGGGCTAGACCCGGGATGTGGCTGCAGGTGTGTAGAGTACGTGTCCGCATTGGTGGGTGACACCAGCTGCCCGGCGCAGCGCTCCGAGTGGCAGGCACGCGCGTTCCCGCAGCCCCGCCTTCTCCCCAGCACTTGGCATCCTCAGTCCGTTTCATTCTGGCCGTCCCAGTCAGGATGCACGCCCCTTCTCTCCCCGCCTCGCCCCCCAGGCTGGCATGTCTCGGCCTCGGCTCCTCAGACGCCCCAGCAGGTGCACGGAGGAAGCAGGAAGCGGATTGCTCTTTCCGCCCATAGGACAGGCTCGTTTCGTGGGCTTGTGTGATTTGCTCCTGAGCTTCGTGCGCCCAGCCTTGTTAGAGACGTAGGCTCGGAGAAGACACGCAGGTGAGCACGTGGGGGCTCCGAGAGGCCAACGTCGCTCCGCAAGCCCTAAGCTCTGGGCCGTGAAAGAACCTAGACAGTCAGGTTCATGTTTCTGTTCCTGTCTGGAGCCTCCCGCTCACTCGGCGGTCAGTTTCGTTCTAATTCCTTCCCCTCCGGCCTGTCTTGTTTGCATAGTGCGCACCTGCCCCCCTGCGAGCTTTCCTCCCCGGCTTCTCCTTCCTCGTCTCCTTGGCCTGACCCTCCTGCTCCACGCACGCCCTACATACAGACACCCTGACGCTCCTGTTGCCCCTTTAGAGGGAAACCCAGCCTCCCTCCTGGCCGTCGAGACCCCGCGTGGCCTAGGCTTGCTCGCAGCTCAAGCTCCTGCTGCCCCTTGGTCCCCGAGCTTTGGCCACCAGCGTTGCCCTTCAGCTCTGCAGACGTGTAGTCTCTTCCCCAGGGCCTTTGCACCTGCCGCTGCTTACCTGGAATGCGTGACCTCGTCACCTGGCTGCCTCTCCTCCTGCGGGTCCCGGCATACCTGGCTCTCGTAAGGGCTTTCTGCCCCCACAGTCTGCATCGGGTCCCCTTGGCATTCTGTCAGCCCCCAGGGCATCTGCTGCGGCACTGACTGTGGTGTGTAATGACCCCATCTCTGTCTCATGTCCGTAAGTCAGTGAGAGTAAAATTGTATTTCATTTATTGACCATCACGACCCTCGTGACTGCTGGCTCAGTGTCAGGTTCACAGCAGATGCTCGATAAACAGCCGGTGCGTGTGTGTGTGTGTGTGCATGTGTACGTGCAAGAAGATGTGAGGGTACTCCAAGTAGGTGGCCCTGTCAGAGCAGGTATGGACTAGTCTGCCCTGTGGTGCCGCTTTGTAGTGACCTTAACAGAGCCTCAGAGCTTGTCCTTCAGGAGGAAGGCAGCGCGGCGGCGTGGAGAGGACATGGGACTTGGGGTCAGAAAACTGGGGTTGGAGCCGTGGCTCTGCCAGTGCTTGGCTGTGCGACACCGAACATGTCTGTCTCTAGGCCTCAGTTTTCCGTATCTGTAAGATGGGAATGATGTTAAAAACAGTAATAATACTTCCAGTGGCTGGAAGTGACCCTGAAACGGGTCAAGGATATAAAGCAGCTTGTCCTCCATGGGTTTGGCGGGAGTGAGTTGTGCTTCATGGACGAGGGGGGCGGCGGGGGAGGGGCCCCTGTAGCATCAGCCTGGAGCGTCTGCCGCGTGGGAAGCCCTAGAAGACAGACGGTTGAGGCAGGATGGCTGCCCTCCAGGACGTCCGCGCTGTCACTGTTCCATTGAGCCTCAAGCTCTTCCATTGAGCCTCAAGCTCTTTGGGGGCAGGGCCCAGCTCCTATCTGGGTTCGTGGCCCCGGCAATGTCCCACCCAGTTCTAGACGCACACGTGCTTGTTCGCGGCGGCGACCGCCTGCTCGGGAATACGGAGGACAGGGGAAGGCGGGATTCTCAGCGGGAAAGACCAGACGGAATGGAGCGGGCTTGGGGGGGGGGGGCGGGGGACTCAGCAGGGAGAATGGCTGAGTCCCACACACAGCTGTTCCTCTCGGGCGCCACATGTGTCCCGGGCACGGGGGAGCCAACGGGGAGGGAGAGTGAGAATGTTTCTCTCTTGTTAGTCTGTGGTCGAGCCACTACTCCCAGGAAGCAAGGATTAGCTGTCAGCCTGGCGCTTGTAGGAGGCTGAGTGATGGGCCTCCAGAATATCAGGTGCTGATCCTTGGCCCCTGGATGTTACCTGGTATGGTAAAATCTTTACCGATGTGGGGTGCCGGGCTGGCTCAGTGGGGTAAGCGGCTGCCTTGGGCTCAGGTCATGATCTCATGGTTCGTGAGTTCGAGCCCCACATCAGTCTGTCTGCTGTCAGTGCAGGGCCCAGGTCAGATCCTCTGTCCCCCTCTCTCTCTGCCCCTGCTCCGCTCTCTCTCTAGAAAATAAATAATTTCCTTAAGACCTTGAGAGGGGAAGTTTCCTGACTTATTCGGGGGGCCCCTAAATGCGATCAGAGTATCCTTATTAGAAGAGCGAGGCAGAGAGAGGTCTGACACAGACAGAAGAGGAGGAAGCCCCGTGACCACGGAGGCAGAGGCCAGAGTGGTGTGGCCATAAGCTGAGGAGCGCTGGGAGCCCCCAGAAGCTAGAAGAAGGAAGGGACCCGTTCCCCCCCAGAGTCTCCGGAGGGAGCACAGCCCTGGCCACATCTTGACTTTGGACTGATTTTAAACTTCTGGCTTCTAGGGGCACCTGGGTGGCTCAGTCGGTTAAGTGTCCGACTTCGGCTCAGGTCATGATCTCACGGTTCGTGGGTTCAAGCCCCGCGTCGGGCTCTGTGCTGACAGCTCAGAGCCTGGAGCTGCTTCAGATTCTGTGTCTCCCTCTCTCTCTGCCCCTCCCCTGCTCGCACTGTCTCTCTCTCTCTCTCAGAAATAAATAAATATTTAAAAAATAAAACAACTTCTGGCTTCTAAACTAGGAGACAATTAATTTCTGACGTTTTAAGCTGTCAGATTTTGTCACTTGTGTTATAGCAGCCATCTGTCCCCACAGTTCATTAACGCACTTAGCGAGCACCTGCGGCGTGCCAGGCACTGCGCTGTGCTAGCCGAGGGAGTACATGGTAAACAGGTCAGGCGAGGCCCTGCCTCCTGGGACCTACAGTATACTTTGGGGGCCGGGGACGGGAGGAACGGACAATAAAGTAACAGACACCACGCCTTGGCTTTGTCTCCCATGCTTCCTGTGTATTAACTAAATCAGTCCTTAACAGGAGCCAAGGGGGTAGGGCTGTTATTCCCATTTTGTAGATGTGGAAACTGAGGCACAGAGAGGCTAGCTCGAAGCCACACAGATCATAAACGAGAGAGCAGGTGCTTGTGCTCCGAGACTTATGCTCTGAATCATCTTTTGTTAGACGAAAAGACCTAGGAAATGGTAAAAAAAAAAAAAAAAAAAAAAAAAGTGGGGGGGGCGGCATGAAGGTAAGAGACAGGGTCAGGGGTCACTTTCGGGGACCAGGGAAGGAAGGGCCTCTGTGAAGAGGTGACGGTTGAGCTGAGGCCTGAAAAACGAGGGGAACCAGCGCGGGGGACCGGAGGTCGGGATGAGCTCAGAGGGGACCCGGGGCAGGGGAGGAGGGGGCTCACCTGCTGCCCATGCTCACCCCCCCACAGGCATGTCGGAGCGCGAGCGGCAAGTGATGAAGAAGCTGAAGGAGGTGGTGGACAAGCAGCGAGACGAGATTCGTGCGAAGGACCGGGAGCTCGGCCTGAAGAACGAAGATGTGGAGGCTGTGAGTGACGGGCCCCGACCCCACGCCCACCCTCCCGGCAAGCGGTCCCCTTCTGTCCCTCCGTCTCCCCTCATGGGCTCTGGTGGTGGGGGGGGTCCCGGAAGCAGCAGCCTCGGGGAGGACCCTCAGCCAAGTGTGCACAGCAGCAGGAGAGGACATGGCCCTCTCTGCCCAGTGATCTGCTCCTTCCACACCCAGGGAGGTACTGAGGCTCCGTCAGCCTTTGTTCTGACCCAGACACTTCCGTCAGCCCACCTTCTTCGTGGCCTCTGTGAGCAGGCCAGCGTGGTCCAGGCTGCTCTAGAGACCCATACAGCATCTCCACCTGATATAGAAAAAGACACCCCATTCTCAAGGCGCATTACTTCTGTCTGTTGGGAAATCGTTATAATATACGGACAAAAAACACTTATCTTCCAACTGTTGTAAAAGTATCACAGTAAATATCCAAATTGCCCATTTCTGGCATCAACAGTTCTAAGAATGTGACCAAACTTCAAGCAAATCAATATATCTCCGGTGTGAATGGCACGCTTGTAGATGATTTGCCCTTGTGCAGTGTACAACATGAGCTACTACACATGGCAGCCCCATAAATGGCCTTCCTCTTTCTCCAGCTGCAGCAACAGCAGACCCGGCTGATGAAGATCAACCACGACCTCCGGCACCGCGTCACAGTGGTGGAGGCCCAGGGGAAGGCCCTGATCGAACAGAAGGTAGAACTAGAGGCCGATCTGCAAACCAAGGAACAGGAGATGGGCAGCCTGCGGGCGGAGCTTGGGAAGCTGCGGGAGAGGCTGCAGGGTGAACTCAGCCAGAACGGAGAGGAGGAGCCTGAGGTAAGTGGGAAGCTGGCCACTGAAGCCAAGTGGGAAGGCCGGTCCGTGAGCTGGCTCGAGGTGGGCAAGCTCAAGGTGGTGGCTTGTTTCTCCGGGTACACTTAGGGGAAGTGGGAGCAGCCTGAGGGAGGAGCGATAGTGTGTAACTCATGGACTCTGGAGCTGGTCGGCCTTGGTTCGTATCTAGCCTGTTACTACCTCCCTGACCTTGGATAAATCATTTAGACTTTCTGTGCCTCAGTTTCCTCTTGTCTAAAATGGGAATAATAACAGTCCTTAGCCCCAGATCATTATGAGAATTAAGTGAGTTAGTTCAATTACGGCGTTAGCTGTTGTTGTTATTACCATGATCGTCTGGAGGAGTCAAAAACGCTTTTTCTAAGGAGGTGATCAAGGGGCACCTAGGGGGCTCAGTCGGTGAGGCATCCGACTCTTGATTTCTGCTCAGGTCGTGATTTCATGGTTTGTGAGATCGAGCCCCGAGTTGGCCTCGGTGCTGACAGCTCAGAGCCTGCTTGGGATTCTCTTTCTCCCTCTCTCTCTACCCCTCCCCCAATCGTTCTCTCTTTCTCTCTCAAGATAAATAAGCATTTTTAAAAAAGAGGTTATCAAAAGAATGAGAGAGTAAACAACCCAAGGAGTGAATTCCAGGCAGGGGAGTGGCACACACAAAGGCCCTGTGGCAGGAAAAATGCCAGTGCAATCAAGGGAGCATCAGGAGACAAGGGTGCCTGGGATGCCTTGTGAGGGGGAGGAGGAAGGTCTGAGTGAGGTCAGAGAGAGGGGCACGGGCCAGGCAGGCCACAGAGCCGAGTTTCATCTTCTACCAGAGAGCACTGTGCTAAGTGCTACGGAGGTTCAAAGAGCTTACAGTCCAGTGCAGGAGACAGGCTCCGACACCCACAGCCACCTAAGGCGGGAGGGGATTATCTCAGTGGTAAGAGACTGTCTTCTGGGTTCCCTTAAGGAAAATGGGCATGAGGTTTACTTGGGAGGTGATCCCAGAGATCAGGGGCATGAGACAGGGGAGAAGGAAAAGTGAATTCGAGGGTGTTAATGCAGTGGGAGCTCAGTCCTGCTGGGACCTCTGAGAATCCTCCAGAAGTGTCTTTTGGAGGAGAAAGGCTTGGACCGTTTATCCACAGGCACCCACCCCCAGTTGGCTAATCATGGCCGGTGGGGGTGGGGGTGGGGGGGGGAGTGTTATCTCCCTGACATTCCTGGGCAGAACTCATGGAGCAGATCTCCGGGCAGAAATGAAAGATATGCGGTGTGTGCCTGGGGGCAGGAGGGGGGGAGCCGTCTACATGTCTGGAACTACACCACAGCTGCACCTAAAATCCAGATAGGCCCAGGGCTGTGACACAGGGCACCAGAGGGGTCTGCCCCATAGAAGTGCCCCCAGGAGGGGCGGTACCGGGAACACAGAGAGGAGGCAGTTCATCCTGATGGGGGTGGCGCGTGGTTTCAAGGAGGAAGTGTCCCTTCAGCTGGATGTCAGTGTTAGCAATGCTAAGATTCTTGGGGCTCCTGGGTGGCTCAGTCGGTTGAGCATCTGACTTCAGCTCAGGTCATGATCTCACCGCTCATGGGTTCAAGCCCTACGTCGGGCTCTGTGCTGACAGCTCAGAGCCTGGAACCTGCTTTGGATTCTGTGTCTCCTTCTCTCTCTGCTCCGTCCCTGTTCATGCTGTCTCTCTCTTCTTAAAAATAAATAAGACATTTTAAAAAATTAAAAAAAAAAAAAACCAATGCTAAGATTCTGATAGGTAGTTGTAGAGGGCGGATGTGCTGCTTCCGAAAAACACAGTGGGCTGTTCGGGAAGGGCTCGGGGCTTACTCTTTCTTCCAGCAAATACTTACTGACTGTTTTAGGTTTGCAGACACTATGCTAGGTTCCTGGGTTCCAGGTAGGGGAGGGAAGACAGATGCGCCCTCCATCAGGTTGGCTCAAATGCCGGCACGGTTCTTAGGTATCTTGTGAGTTCAGTCCAGACACTTCATGTTCTCTGAAGGACAGGTACCTGGGATACAGTTAGGGAGATAAGGGAAAGAAGTCTTAAAAGGGAGAGGTTCAGGCTTGCTTTTGGCTAAAAGTGACAGAAGCCTAAATTAAAATGGTTTAAGGAATAAAAAAAACAAAAAGAGGAATTTTTGGTTGTAAAGCTAAAAGCTTTGAGTTCATGATGGCTTCAGGCATAGCTGGTTTCAGGGGCCCAGAGGATGCTATCAGATCTCGCAGCTTTGCTTTCCTCTGTGTCGGTGTCGTTCTCAAGCTGGCTCTTGCCATATAGTGGCCCCTGGTTACTCTACCAGCATAGCAGCCCCGGTGAAAAGAAATGGCCTCTTTCCCAAATTCCCAGCAAGTCTCAGGGAACCCTCTCGGCCCATCGCTGAACCAATCGCTGTGGCCTGAGGTCTGGAGTATGCATGGGGTGTCCGATCCCGAGTCACATGGCTGCGCCGTGTGGTGCCCATCCATGCCGCATGCACCGGAAGTGGGCAGGGAGTTTCTCCAGGGGACGCTGCAAGGACACAGCCCGGACAAGTATGGAAATGGTTGCAGGACAGAGATGGCAGCTGTTGTCTGCAGCGCCAGGAAGTGGGGGCCCAGAATGCCACCCACAAGACTCTGAGCAGTGAGGACTGTGGGGTCCCCCACAGGGTTCAGCGGGGGAGGAGTGGGATGAGCTGGGAGGGCACTTGGGCGGGGAAGGAGCTGAAGGCAGATGTGGCTGTTGGGAGCCCTTTGCAGAAATCCAGGCAAGAAAGGCGAGCTCTGCGTCAGATCTATGGCGATGGGACGGAGGGGATGAGACAGAGGCCAAAACAACCCATAGGCGCAGCTGAGGGCAGTCACCCCCTCCTCCCCAGTGTCCCTCTTCCAGCCCCCTGTGCCCCTCGAGAACTCAGGCCTGTCCCCTCCTGGGAAGGCGGAGCTCGCTGCAAACCCAGGTCCCGAGGACACCACCCCAGCCACGAGACTCCGAGCCCTGCTCCAGATCTATTTAGCGGCAAGGACAGGGACACGCCACGTCCCCATGGCCCGACTGCCCCACCCATTTAACAGTTTCCCCTGCTGGCACCTAGTGGGTGGGGCAGAAATGGGGGAGTGAAACCAGGTAGCAGTTACGACTAACCCGCCGAACTGCTTTGCAGAGTCTCTTCCCAAACTCGGGGCGTCCTGGCTGAGTCTGACCCCCTCCCTCGGAGCTGGGTAGGGTTCAAGATGCTTGTCACTCGGACGGGGAGGCTGCGAGTGGTGGCTTTCCACCTGCTGCCGCGGGGCTGGGGCTCATCCATCCCGTCGGTGCTCAGTCTCCCATCTGACACGTGGGGGGAGTGAGCTTGAGTTGGTTCCGTAGGTCAGCTAGTTGGTGTGGCAGGGATGGAGGGCCGTGGCATCGGAGGCGGGCACGGTGTGGGGTGGCTGGGATGCCTGGGGAGGAGTGTGGGGCAGGCCACTCCGGGCAGGAGGGAGAGCGCGCGCCGGCCTGGAGAATGAGCGGGTGCAGCGGGGGGGGTGGGCTGGTCCTGGCACAGGATTGGCGAGAGGAGATGGGAGCTATGGAGGGATCCAGGGGTGGGGAGGAATCAGTTCTCATCAATGCCTTGGCTACCCTGGTTCTCCCCCTCGATTCGTGTGATCCTTTCTGAGCTCCATCACTGTCTTCCACTGTGGCCTCCAGTAAACAAGCCTCCTTATATATTTTACAGTATAGTTGCTGAGACATTCACATACAATTCAGCTACTTAAGGTATGCAAGTCAGCGGGGTTTAGTGTGTTCACTATGTTGTACATCCATCACCACGATCTAGAACATTCCCGTCACTCCCCAAAGAAACCCCGTACGCATTAGCAGCCACTCCCCTTCTCTCCGTCCCCCAGCCCCCGGCCACAGTGAAGCTGTTTTCCGTCCCTGCGGGTCTGGCTGTTTGCGGACATCTCAGGGACGCGGGTCACGTATGTAACATGTGGTCCTGACTGGCTCCTTCACTCGCCGTGTTTTCTAGCTCGTCCAGTTCCTCATGTTTTCACTGGAGGCTTTCCTCCCTTTCACGGGTGGACATAGAATCCCCTAGAAAATGATTTGGTGGGCTCCCTATCTAAAGGATTTCATCTAAAGTCAGTAAGAAAACCGTGAAGCTAATAGTTACCTACTTGATGTCTCTGCCTTGCAAATTCTGACGTCTTAAGAAACGTTGGTTTATTTAAGTGCTCAGGGAAAGCAGACAGGGGCCTGCTGGCCGGCGAGCGGAGCCAGGTTTGCCGGCTGAATGTATGCGAGGTGGGCCTCGTTACGAGGTGATGAGGTGACGAGGGCACAGTCGTCCCCACCCCCCATGGCTGGGCCAGGGTCTTGAAGGAGCATAGTGGCCTTGATGGAGGGGGGGAGGGGGAGAGGGAGAGGGCCCAGGGGGCGGCGCCTCAGGACGCGGTGGAGGATGTGGCCTCCCTTAGGCCAGCCTGGCCCCACTGCGTGTCAGCGGGCCTCCTGCGCCTCCCTGGGGAGCGGCCGGGGCCTCAGGGCATCTCCCTCGAGCTGCGCCCAGAGCACCTCCGGGGACTGGCGGACAGTCCCCGATAACCCCGGCCACCTCCGCGGTCCCTCGTGGAGTAAGCTTAGAAGCCCCATAGCCGATGGGCCTGATTCCCAGGCTGGGAAGAGCCTTTGCGGTGCCTCCCAGGACAGAGGGAGAGCCGGAGCCCCCCGCTTTCCCTCCTCTGCGCTCTGGCTTTTTTGCAAACCTGTCTGGGAGTCCCCCGAACTCTAGGACGCGAGGTTGCCACCCTGATGAAAGAGCTGCCCCTTCTCCAGAGAGAAAGAAGTCAGATCTGAGGAAGCCTTTCCGTTTCTTGGGTGCTTACAACCCACGGTGGGGGTGGGGGGGAGGAACACGCCAGGCCCGGAGGAACAGGGGGTGGGGGGGAGCAGACACAGAAGGAACATAAAAAAAGGCACTAGCTGCTATGTAGTGCCGGCCCAGTGTTGCCGTGTGGACCCAGGGTGACCCAGTCTTCCAATATTTTTTCCAAAAGGAAGCGCAAGACACAAACTTCAGTGTGAAATCTCCTAATAGACAACAGTTGGGAGGGGCGCCTGGGGGCTCAGTTGGTTGAGCATCCAACTTGGGCTCAGGTCATGATCTTGCTGTTTGTGGGTTCAAGCCCCACGTTCGGCTCTGTGCTGACAGCTCGGAACCTGCAACCTGCTTCAGATTCTGTGTCTCCCTCTCTCTCTGCCCCTCCCCCACTCACACTCTGTCCCTTTCTCTTAAAAAGAAATAAACATTAAAAACATTTTTTTTAATTAAGAAAAAACTGTTGGGAGCCAATTCCAAAGAGTTTTAGAGCACAGTGAAGGCCAAATACAATGTGTGTAGGGGCTGGGGTGGGCCCAGACTTCCTGGCAAACTCCTACACATTCGTCAAGACCCCATGCACAGAGGCTACATCTGCAATGTCTTCTGCTATCCTTCCCAGTTAGAGTTTGATGTCCTTGCACCTCTTATTATACGACCTTACAAGTTTCTATCTGTGTGTATCTTCCCTCCACCCCCAGATGATTCATCTCACTAGCTCAGTGCCCAGCAGGCACACAGGTGATGCTCAATAAATATTGAATGTTTATTGAGACATCCAGTATTTATCGAGATCACCAGTTATCTCTTGAATGTTTATTACAGACATCCAAGGATGCTCCGTGGTTAACCTGGGCAGGGGAGGAGAAAGGGACTGGCACTGGCGAGTGCCTGCTGTATACAAGGCACTTGCTATGCTTGGTCTTGTGTAGAGGACACCGTCCAACTGTGTGGCTCTATAGGAGGTGGACGCTGAAGATGTCCCCTGGGGACACAGCCCACTGGAAGGTGTGGCATCAGCAGATACCTAGAGTGCCTTCTTGGGAAGTCAGATCCTCCAACATTTCCCCCTACTTCCTGGGTGGGCAGAGGCCCCACTCCATTGCCCAGGTGGCTTGGGGACGGCATATGTCAGCTTTCCATTTTCTGCCGCAGCCAGGCGCCTCCCCTGCTCCGTGCTGACTCCTGGTCAGACCCACTTCCCCCGCCTGGGCCCGCTGGGTGACTCTGCTGTCACCTGATCTGCCCTCCTGAGTGGTGTCTCCTTTCAAGTGTCCTTTCCCAGAACAGCCTGTGCTGACGGCCCCGGGACAGAGGCATCTCGGCTCTGCCTCCCAGGGTCCTTCAACATCCTGGCCTCTGTTGCTGGCTGGCTCGGCGGGCATGTGTCCCTGTGCTGCTGTGGGGCTTGGGGGGGGGGGGTAGGTCTCTGTTTCAGTCCCACTCCCCGCTGTTGCAGAGTTTCCCCGTTGTCCTGAGCGTCCATCCACTCCTACTTGATGATGGGAGACTGGCGGTTCAGGGGTGCATGAAGCATCTGCAGGTTTGGCCAGACGACTCGCAGGCGGCTCACAAGACCTTCCTTGCTCTAGAAAACAGAAAACACGCGCGTGGCGGCGAGGCTGTGGGGCATGCGGAGCCTCCTACGCTGCTGGCCGAACGTCAAGTGGGGCAGCTACTGTAGGAAACAGTTAAACACAGAGAGACCCCGTGACCCAGCAGCTCCTCCCTGCGTGTACACCCAGAGGAATTGAAAACGGGCTCAGACAAACCCTTGTACACAGACGTTCGGGGCAGCCCTGTTCACATTAGCCCAAAGGTAGAAACAATCGAAATGCCCGTCGGTGGATAACAGGATAAATAAAACGTGGCATATCCATGCACGGAATAGTATGCAGCCATAAAAAGGAATGAAGCAGAGGAGCCCGGGGGGCTCAGTCGGTTAGGCATCCGACTTCGGCTCAGGTCATGATCTCACGGTTCATGAGCTCAAGCCCCGCGTCGGGCTCTGTGCTGACAGCTCAGAGCCTGGAGCTGCTTCAGATTCTGTGTCTCCCTCTCTCTCTGCCCCTCCTCTGCTTGTGCTCGCTCGCTCACTCTCTCAAAAAAAAATTAAAACATTAAAAAAAAAGGAATGAAGCACTGACTTTCTACAGCCTGGATGAACCTTGAAAACACGGTGCTAACTGAAAGAAGCCGGACACAAAAGGAAACATACTGTTTGATTCCATTTATTCGAAGTGTCCAGAAAAGGCAAGTCCATGGAGACAGAAAGCAGATGGTGGCTGCCAGGGGCTGGGGGAGGGGGCTGGGGAGCGACTGCTAGTGGGTATGGAGTTTCCTTTGGGGCGATGAAGATGTTGTGCAACTAGACAGGTGGCGATTGCACAACACCGCGACTGTACTGAATGCCACCGAATTGTGTAGGCCAATTTTACATTAAGTGTGTATTTCCACAGGTTTTTTGTTTTGTTTTAAAAACCCTCTTGCTGTGAGAAAGGGAGGGAGGCCGGGGTTAGGGTCTGGCCTGGAGCAGGTGACACTTAACATGTTCGGGTCCGTCTGAGTGGCCTGCGTGACAGAAATGCCCACGTGTGCACACCTGCCGTGATGTTACCTGCCCACCCCCGGGGGCCCCCACTCACCCCTCAGCCATGGGGAGGACAGGGCTCAACTGGAAGTCCAGTAACCGATGCGAAAACGTGTAGGACATAATGTTAAATGAAAAGGGAAGAGAAAATTGTTCACAAGCTCCGATTTTAACAACTTTGGCCAAATTAGCAATGGTCTTATTAGCAGTGGTCTTAGTGAGAATGTGAGGAGAGAAGGGGCACCTGGGTGGCTCAGTCGGTAAAGTGTCCGACTTCAGCTCAGGTCATGATCTCACGGTTCGTGGGTTCGAGCCCCGCGTCGGGCTCTGTGCTGACAGCTCAGAGCCTGGAGCCTGTTTCAGCTTCTGTGTCTCCATCTCTCTCTGACCCTCCCCTGCTCATGCTGCCTCTCTCTCTCTCTCTCAGAAATAAATAAAGCATTAAAAAAAATAAAGACTATGAGGAGAGAAGGTGGGAAAAGGAAAGCAGTTTATGAGGGCAGCAGCATTGGGGGTGTGCTGTTTCTTCCCCTTGGACACCTTTTAACGGTGTTCGTAATAAAACCCGGAGTCGGGCAGGCGGCGCCGGGCGGGCAGGTCTGGCTGTTGAGAAGGCGAACAGTGAACAGGTGGCCACGGCTTCCGTCCCCAGAGCGCTGCTCACTGCACGGAGCGTGAGAGAGGCCGCCTGCGGGTGCCTGAAATAGCGCCGTTGGCAGAGCTGCGAGGCCCGGGAGGGTGGGGATCCGGGCGCCGGCAGAGGGTGCGGAGTGGGCGCCCCGAATCCATTACCGGCATCTCTGCCTCCTCCAGGCGGAGCCGGGCGGAGAGGAGTGCGTCTCGGAGGCGGAGAAGATGGCCATGGACCTCAAGGACCCCAACCGCCCCCGGTTCACCTTGCAGGAGCTGCGGGACGTGCTGCACGAGCGGAACGAACTCAAGTCCAAGGTGTTTTTGTTGCAGGAGGAGCTGGCGTATTACAAGAGGTGAGCGCCCGGCCGGCCCCTTGCTGGGGCTGTGCGCAGCTTGGGCGACACACGGCTGGCATCTGTCTCCCTCCCGGGGTCCCTGTCTGGAAGCACGTGGGCGCGAGTTCACGATCCCTTTCTGAAACTCTCGGGTGGGGTGCGTTTCATACTTCAGCCCTTCCCAGCTGTTAGAAAGGAATACGTAGCGTCCCCACCCGGCAGCACCCCCGGCAGCGCCCCAGAACCAGCCCTGTTAATACTTCTGTGGCGAAACATGTGAATAGTCATACAACGTGGGATAAAGAATCACTGTGATCAGCCTCATGAGAGTTTTTCAGGGGTTGCCACCAAGTGAATGACCAGAAAAAAAGAATTTTCATTTTTAGAGCTTTTTGGATTTTAGAACTGCAGATAAGAGATGATACAGCCGCACAGCCTACATATTTGTTCATTCGGTCCTTGGCCAGTGAATTCTTTGCATATATTAGAGCTGCGCTGTCTCCGACGATAGCCACCAGCTGGGTGGCTATTTAAATGAGTTAAGTTAAAATAAAACTGAAAATCTTGTTCCTCAGTTGTACATACGAGTTCAGCTTTATACACACTACTCCTCTATTAGTTTCTCAAAGCATACCACATGTGTTTCTACCTCAGGACCTTTGCACATGCTGGCCCTGTAGCTGGGGAAACATTCTCTTTGGCTCTTCCCTTGGTTGACTCCTGGTCACCCAGGATTCAGGTCAAGGGTCACCTCCACAGAGAGGCCTTCCTTCCACAATACCACCCATTCAAAGAAGTGCCCTGTCCCAGTCACTATCCCTTTACTGGGTTCACGGTCCTTTACCATCTTATTTAAAACCCCATTTCTTAATGTGCTTAGTTTATTGTATGTTTCCATGCAGAAACATATTCCAGACTGTAACAACATGAGACCAGAACCATGTTTGTCCTACTCATTAAGTTCCCAAGACTTAGGATAGAGCTTAGCACAGAGTAGGTTTGCAGCAAATACTTCTTGAATGGAAAGCCAGAAGGAGGAACAGATGCACCAGATGTAGGGAAAATGAGAGGCACAGAAAATACGGTGCCATGTATTTTTATTGAAAACCCACTGTAGGCCCGGCACATAAGAACGTTTTACTGATGCTGTGTGTGCACTGGCTGTTCAAAGGGAGCGATCACTTCTCAGGGATGGGGGAGAAACCAGGAAGGCTTCATGGAAGAGGTGGCATTTGAACTGCGCCCTTCCCTAAAGGATAGGGTACTTTTCACCTATGGGAGATGTTGAGGGGTGGGTGCCACATTCCAGATGGAAGAAACAACCACAGAGGTATGGAGACAGCATCTGGCAAGGACAGGTTCTGTGTGGCAAGACTCTTCAGAGGAAACTGAAGATTGCCTTTTTGAGATGTGGCTTCCTTTCCTGAAATTCTTCACATTTGACCAGTTGGGCCAAAAAGACCACAGGCACCCATGTCTACTGCCTCCAGGGCCGGCCTCCCTCCTAACTGGCTGTGCCCGCTGCTAAGAGGCCAGCCCCCCAGGCAAAGACACTGTTGGGGCACAGGGCACTAATGCCGTCTTCCTAGGTCCCCCTGTTCCCAGTAGAAGCCCTCCCAGACCATCAGACTCTACCCTTCTAGAATATTCCAGCTCTTACAGAAGTTTTGACTCTCTTATCTCACACCTCTCACCTCCTTCCAGTGAAGAAATAGAAGAGGAAAATCGAATACCCCAGCCTCCACCGGTCGCCCACCCGAGAATGTCCCCCCAGCCGGAGTCTGGGATCAAGCGACTGTAAGTGCCGTGCTTCTTGAGTGTGGGGCTGCTCGCTCTCGGCTGACCCGGTGGTTCACACAGCCTCTCACTTCTGGGCACCTGCTCCAAGGCCGGGCTTGTCACTAACCACCTCCTGCTGGGACGGGCCTAACCCCCGGGGCACGATGGGCCTGGCCCTCTGTACCTGAATGCTGAGCTCCTTCTCGGGGTCCCCGGGCAGAGGGGTTTGGGTGAGGCTGAGAGGGCGGAAAGTGGGTGGGGCCTGTGGCTAAGGCTCAGGGCCTGAGTGTGTCAGCGGGGGCCTGTCTCTGAGCAGCAGATAAGGCCAGTGGGACAGACTCATGCATCTGGAGGGATGGGCCTGGTTCACCCACCAGTGCGTTTCGTGCAGGCTCCCACACCCTCCCCCTCCCTCCATTAAGTGTTTATTGCCACGTTCTACATGCAGAGAGTCACGCCCTGTTTGCTGTGGGGGCGCACAGGGAAGACACAACTCAGCCTTGCCCCTCCACCAGACTTTTAACTACTTGAGTGGTTCTTTACATCAAAAGACTCCTTTGAGATTCTGAGAGTCTGTAGACCCTCTCCCTGGGGGCGGAGGAAGACTTCGCCTGCAGCCCTTTAGGTAAAGGGTTAAGGCTTCTGGTCTAGTTGGCTCACGTCCGCTAAGAGCCTGCTATGCACCAGGTACTTTCCTGCAGCCAGATGACCTCGTTGAGTCCCCACTGTACCCCTGGGAGGTAGAGACACTGTCATTCCCATTTTACAGTTAAAGAAACTAAGGCAGCTGCCTAAGGACATTCGGTTATTAAGGTGCAGAGCCAGGGTTCAGACCTAGGCAGCCAGAGCCCACGTTTCAAACTGTTTGCAGGGTGCGCGTGCTCACATGGTTGTCTTGTAGCCGTGGTTACCCGCCCCCAGCCCCCCCCCCCAGGGCCTTCCTCCCTCTAGGCCTTCTGGCTGTACCCTCCTCCTCTCTTTCTCTCAAACTCTGGCAGAAGCTCTGTGAAAGCAGGTGGCGCGGGTGTGTGGGGAGGGGCCCTGGGGGGGGCCTCGAGGGACCTCCACCTCCACAAGCAGTTACCGCGGGAGACTCTCCCTGCGAGGCGCCTGAAGGCTCAGCACTGGTGGCCGGGAAGGCGAAGCCAGGACACGTGCAGCCTTGTGACCGCTCCTGGGAAGGGCTGGCCGCCCTCGAGAGTGTGCGCGTGAACGCGGGGCTCCCTCCCAAGCCGCTCTTGCCAGCCCCGCGCTGCTTATTGCTTGGCCCTCAGTCCCTGTGCGGAGTCCCCACTTACTAGTTAGCAGTAAATACTTACTCAGGGGTGAAACTTGGAAGCAGAAAGGCTTCCTCTGAATCCCAACACCATTTGGCTGTGTATTGATTAGTAATAACATTGGCAGTTGAAACTCAACTCAGAGTAACTTAAGAAAGACTGGTGGCTCGGGGACCAAAAATTCTCAGGTCGTACTGGCTTCAGGCTCAGGTGGATCCAGGTCTTGTCGTCGGGGCTTTGCCTCATTCCCTCCACCTCTGGCTTAGTTTTCCTTTATGTCGGGCACACTGTCCCTGAGGGTGGCAGCATGGCAGACATCAGCTCAGCCTTCTTCTGCTCTTGTGTCTGAGACTCCAGCGGGAAGAGAATCTTCCACAGGAGTCACGCAGCCAAGTCCCATTGGCTCAGACTGGGTCATGTGGCCTCTAAGCCAATCACAGGACAGTGCAGCCATCAGCCAGGTCTGGGTCTCCTCCTCATGCCTGAGGCTGGGATGGCTCAGACACGTCTGGTTCGGATGGACTGGAAGAAGGGTAAGGGCGGGTGCCACGGAGGTCACAGGGCTAGGCGACAGACAGAAGGCATGGGTGTCCGTTGTAGCCTCATCAAGGGGGTGAGGGAGCCCTTCAGCATCAAGTCTGTGATCTACTCAGTACGCAGGGACACCTTCATCCTTGGTTAGGTTTTCTCATCCAGTGCTAAGAAATGGGATCGACTTTTCTTAAACCCCGAGCCACCTGCTAGCCCCACACATGTGTAAGAATGCGCATCATCAGTCTTGTGCTTTGACAGCTACGACTTTGGGTTACAACCTGGGGAAGCTGAGACAAAGTTCATGAGCGCACATAATCCGCCCCAGGGCAGAGGAGGGGCAGGTCCAAGTCACCAGTCCTGTGCCTCCTTCAGCGGTTCACTGCCAGGTCTTTAAAATCGGACCTTTCTAGAGGCGCCTGGGTGGCTCAGTTGGTTAAATGTCTGACTCTTGGTTTCAGCTCAGGTCATGATCTCACTGTTCATGAGTTTGAGCCCCGCATCAGGCTCCGCGCTGACAGTGCAGAGTCTGCTTTGGATTCTCTCTCTCTCCCTCTCTCTCTGTCCCGCCCTGACTCAACCTCTCTGTCTCTCTCTCAAAATAAACTAAAAAATTTTTTTTAATTTTTAAAAAATCAGATGTTTTTAGCATCTTCACGTACGTGGCACATATAGCATGCAAATACAGAAGGGGAGAGAGAAGCTAGAATGCCCCCGTGCCCCCGGTGCAGGTGGCCAGGCCCGTGGCCACGCCGGCCTTCTAGGGGACGACTGGCAGAGCAGGCTGGCACAAAAGGCTTTTGACCAGCCCTGCCAGGACACTGGTCGCCTTTGTCCACCTCGGCTGCTGACTGGGAGCTGTGTCAGTGCGGCCACGAGCCCAGAGCCAGGGGCGGGGACGAATCTTTCCTGGGCCTGGGCAGGGACTGGTGGTTCGTAAGACGGTGTCACACCTCTCTTCCCATCCCTCACACCTCTGGCGCCTATTGGGGTCCACTCGTCCCTTTGTCCTTGCTTTTGCGGAATACGAGTCACACAGCCTCGTTAGTACAGGTTCTGGCTGCTTCGTAGCTCAGCCTTGTGCCCTTGACCAGTTTCTTCCATCCACCAACGAGTGAGCAGTAACTACCATGGAGGTCTGCAGGGGCTTCATGGCCTTGCACCACCTGCACTCAGGTATCTTCCCCCCCGTCAGAGGCTCAGAGCTGGGAGACGTAGCGCCACTTCTCCGATGAGTATCAGGCCCAGAGAAGCCCACGGACTTCATTTAGGTCACACCGCTGGCCGGGACGCCTGGGTGGCCCAGTCGGTTGAACGTCTGACTCTTGATTTTGGCTCAGGTCATGATCCCAAGGTCATGGGATCGAGCCCTGTGTCGGGCTCTGCGCTGAGATGGAGCCTGCTTGGGATTAATTCTCTCTCTCCCTTTCTTTCCCCCCGCCCCCCAAATTTAGATCATACCGTGAGAAGGGTCAGAGTTGGGGGTTTGAACCATGCCTCCTGTGTACCTCCCGCCCCCCTGCCCTGTCTTCTTGCCCTACTCCTGAGTCACCAGCTGTGGGCAGACTGCCCAGTTCCCTTCTCTCTCAAGTGCGCCACAAGCCAGGGACATCCGTCTCTGTGTTTCTGGGCTGCGCCGACGAAGGGAACCAGAAACTCCTGCCACCACTTAAAACTGTGCCCAGAAGACAGTCCAAGAATAGCTTGTGACTGAGCAGCTGCCGGCCGGAGGGTCCAGGTTGGCACTGCCTGGGAAGGTCACGAGGGAGCACTGAGTGACTCCAGTTTTGTTCCCAGCAGCCGCCAGGCACCAGCGCCCCCTTTGTGTGGCCTCTGTCTCTCAGTTACAGTCCCACAGCCGTGTGCACGGCACGCAGCTGTCTGCTGAGCAGGGGTGGAGGGGACGGCCAGGGAGGCAGGGAACAGGCAACGGGTCTCATGCACCAGAAAGGCCGGCCTCAGAGGAGGCGGCCACCCAAGCATCAGACACTGGTTGCAACAGTGCATTCTGTCCCTGTCCTCCTACCCACCACCCTCCTCGCTTCAGCCCAGAAATAGCTTCCTCACAGCCGCCCATTGCACTGCCTGAAATGCCACTGTTAGAGCTGCATTTGGTTTACATCTTCCAGAAATAATCGGCGGGGAGGGAGAGGGCAAAACCAGCCTCACCATACCCAGGACGTAAACTTTTGACCGAAGAAAGCCAGTCTCTCTCTCTCTTTTTTTTAAATGCTTATTTATTTTTAAGAGAAGAGCACTAGCAGGGGAGGGGCAGAGAGAGGGGGAGACACAGAATCTGAAACAGGCTCCAAGCTCTGAACAGTCAGCACAGAGCCCGACACGGGGTTTGAACCCACAAACCGTGAGATCACGACCTGAGCCAAAATCAGATGCTTAACCTACTGAGCCCCCCAGGCGCCCAAGCCAGTCTTTTCGCAGGAAGTGACTGTCCCTCCAGAGGAGGTGGTTAATGCAGGGAAGCACCTGGGAAGGAAGGGGCCATCCATCCAGTGAAACATACAGTTACTCGACTGGAACCTTCCAGGCGTCCCAAGGCCCCCGTGCACCAGTCTGACCCTGGGCCCCAGTGAAGTCCAGCATTCCCAGGGGGGGCAAACGCCTCACCCCGCCTCTGGGGCCAATGACTGTGTCTTTGGGGGCTCCCTGTTATGCCGAGAGAGGTCCTGGCCGGGGTCGAGCCCCTGGAAAGCCGACAGTGCCACACAGCCTGGCCTCTGGGGACTGGGCACATCAGATGACAAACAGTATCCCCCTGTCTCATCACCGTGAGTGTACATCCACGTGGTACTGCCAAGATGCCAACCCCCAGCCACTGTTTGAAGGGTATCAGAGGTCAATGCAAACACAGATAATCCCAAGCCTCACCTGAGACTGTCATTTTCTCTCTCTGCCCCACCCAGCGTCTTAAAAAAAAAAAAAAAAAAGCAAAATTGTTCAGAATAAGCTCTGGTGACTTGAGTGGAATTACTTCTTCATTTTCCTTGCCAAGACAGGGGACGGACGAGGACTCACTGCCAGTTCGGACTTAGCAGGGGGGTGGCCCACGCAGGTTCTCTGCCTCCGTTCACTTGGCCGGCCCACCGTGGCCACCTCATCTTCTCTCCCGGACCCCTTCCCCCCCCCCCCCCCCGCTGCCTTCTTTGGGGCATGGAGCCTGGGGGGAATGGTAGTTGGGGGAGATGTGCTGGAAGACCCTGAGGGTGTCCCTGCTCACCCACAGCGGGTTTTGACTCCTTTCCCAAACCCAGGCCTGCTGTTGAGCCCCGAGGCCCGCCCCGTCTTCCCTCGGTGCTACGTTAGTTTGCCAGGGCTGCTGTGACAAGGTACCGCCCAACGGGGAGCCTTCGACGGCAGAAATGCTTTGTCTCACCCTCCTGGAGGCTAGGAGTCCCGAACAGGTGTGGCCAGGGCCAGTTCCTCCTGCGGGCTGAGAGAGAATGTTCCGTGCCACTCCTAGCTTCAAGGCTTTGCTGGCCTTAGAAGCATCGCGTGGATCGCTGCCTTCATCTTCACAGAACAGGCCCCACGTGTGTATGTCTGTGTCCAGATTTCCCCCTTTTATAAAGATCCACTCTTCTCTGGGCACCTGGGCAGCTCAGTCGGTTGAGCATCTGACTTCGGCTCAGGTCATGATCTCATGATTCGTGGGTTCCAGCCCCGCATCAGGCTCTGTGCTGACAGCTCAGAGCCTGGAGCCTCCTTCAGATTCTGTGTCTCCCCCTCTCTCTGCCCTTCCCTTGGTCATGCTGTCTCTCAAAAACAAACATTAAAAGGGGCGCCTCGGTGGCTTAGTCGGTTAAGCGTCCGACTTTCGCTTGGGTCATGATCTCGCGGTTCGTGGGTTCGAGCCCCGCGTCGGGCTCTGTGCTGACTGCCAGCTCAGAGCCTGGAGCCTGTTTCAGTCTGTGACTCCCTCTCTCTCTGACCCTCCCCTGCTCACGCTGTCTCTCTCTCTCTCTCTCCTAGAAATAAATAAAAATCTTTAAAAAAAAAAAAACACATTAAAAAAAAAAAGATCCACTCTTCTCTAGTGTAACTTTATCTTGTTACCTCCTCCAAATAAGGTCGCTTTCTGAGGTCCTGGGAGTTAGTTTTACAGGGAGACAGAGTTCCCTCCATAACACCTACGATAAGCGAACCCTTCAGCTGGTCTGTGCGTGGAATGTGTTTATTTTTCATGCCTCCTCTGTTTTTATCTTCTCTGTGTCTATCTGTACCTTTCTAACCAGGATCTTTACAGCCATAATGCCCATGGTAGCCGCGGGACTGATAATAGATGACCCCTCACTGCAGCCCATCGGACGACTTGTCTCCCCTGTAGGCACTGTGTGTGTTTCCGGTTGCGTTTTGAGCTGCGCCTTTGGAATGCGTGCTGCGGCTCTGCCGAGGCTGGCCTGGCTTCCTTGGCCACTCTAGCTGCATGGCCACCAGCTCCACCAGCTGCGTGTTCCCGTTTGAAGTGGGTGCCGAGTGTGAGTCTCGACCTGCACGAGTGAGACCGCGGAATTCTCGGCTCTGTCACCGATAATTCTTTTTGTCTTTTCTTGTTTCCGTTCTAAAAACCACCTTGTCCATGATCCAGTAAAGAAGGTGCTTTAAGTGACGGGTCAGTAATCAACGCCCACTGTGACCACCTCCCCCTTCCAGCCCCCGAGTGACACTAACGCTGTGTTTTTGACCTTCACGCCCTAGCTTTCTAAACCGCTTTGTTTTGCCGATCCCGTCGTCAGAAAGCCATTTGATCCTGTTCAAAAAAGGAAGAGCAGAGGAGGGGACCAATGCTTTGTGCCTGCGTCCCCTCGGACAGGAAGTGGCACCTGGCTTTCCTGCTTGAGTCAGGTAGAGGTGACATGTGGCAGTGGTGTGTTGCTGCTGTATTTTTGGCCAGCTAATTGCCCTGATTACACTATGGAAAGAGCTCGCAAATAACCCAGTATGAAAACTGTGCCTTCATTTGTCAGGACACATATCTGTTGTAGAGGAAAGAGACTTTAGCTGGTAGGGAGAATCTCTCCAGATATATTTGGCTTGCCCCAGCTTTACAATGAAAGACCACTTAATTCCCAGTAGGAGGTGATTGTAGGGTCCAGTAAGCACAGAATAGTAAAGTCATTTTCACCCAGATGTGATTAAAACTGAGCTTCACAGGCCACAGCACTTACAAGGGGGCGGTGGGGGGGGGGGGAGCTAATAGGTGAACAGACAGAGGGAACTAAAAATAGTCGATCTGAAGCTTCTGTTTCTCAGCGGTGCATTCCTATTCCTGCCCCCGGGAAGCATAACGTAGCTATTATCTCTCTTACCAAGTTCAGAATCCACAATTCAAGAGTAGCAGAACTTGGTGAGAAAAGAATGAAGCTCATTAGAAAGTAGGAGTATCGAATGACAGGGAGCAGCTTAGGAAAGGCTTTTGGGAGAAATTCGAGGTGGGCCACCTCAAGTCTCCTGGCCAGGGTCCTGGTCTTTGTGGAGGTGGAGCTAAGGCAGACCTTGTTTTAAATGGGCCAGTTCAGGGGTGTCTGGCTGGCTCAGTCGGTGGAGCGTGTGACTCTTGATCTCGGGGTCATGAGAAGGAGCCCCATGTTGAGTGTGGAGCCTACTTAAAATAAAAGTTAAAAAAATTCATGGGTGTGTTTATAAGCTTTTTGCCTGTAATTTCTACCTTCATCTTTTAGGCATCAGACGGTTCACTTTGATCAGTGATGAGCAGTCACATCTGTTTTGAAAAGATCCCTTGGTCTCCACAAGCCACCATCAGGCAGCAAGTCTCTGTGCTAATGTCTAACGGCTTTCACCCTTAAATCAGTTTTCAACACTGTAAACCGATGGTTTCCCCAATCTCATTCGCAGGCAGCGTTCACAGTGCTTAATCACAGAACCGTGAGCACTGCTACTTATTTTTTGGTCGTCTCATTTTTCTAAAATAACTACTTCCGACTCCTCCCTAGCAGTAACATCCAGGAAATCTGGGCTCTGATGTGCCACATAGGTAGTTTCCTGATTCCTGTTACGTAACTACCTAAAGGAAAAACACTCGTCTCTTTATGTCGGAATCATCTTAAATTCTAGGAGGCTTTCAGTCATTACTTTCTCTGCATCGTTAGGGTAAAGGAATTCCAGACCTATGTTTCTGGTCGATTTTTTTATGCCCACTGATAATGAGAAGAGTCCTTCCGCAGTGCTTAAGTAAGAGATGAGATACATCACACATCACGTACGTGCATGCCCCGTTCACACTGTGTCACCTCCAAGGTAGGGTGACAATGACATGCAGAATCCCCTGCTGCTTTCTGAAATAGCTTTGACCCGCACCCCTACCCTTCCTTTCACACCTCGGATTGATTTGCTTCCTTCCACATCTGCCGTTGTATGTCCCGGCATTGCAAAAACGCTGACGTGCACAGCAAAGACAGGCTCTCATTTCTTCCTTTCTTTCCCTTCCAAAAGGTTTAGCTTCTTCTCCCGAGATAAGAAGCGTCTGCCCAACACGCAGAGAAGCGTGCACATCCAGGAGTCCTTTGGCCAGTGGGTCAACTCACACCGTGACGACGGTTACACGGAGCAAGGACAGGAAGCGCTGCAGCACCTGTGACCGCAGCCCGCCTCTGCCCTTGGACCTGAACTGTCCACCGTCAGCAGCGGAACCTGGCAGCCGCAGGGGTCACTACCTGGCACCCTCAAGACTGATCCCTCAGACAAACTGTCTCCTTTGAGGAAGCACACTGAAAAACTGATGCCAAACTCTATAAAGAAATGTTTATTTATACCCAGGGCTATCACCGTTTATAATAGATGACTGATCCCTTAGAATATATATTTAATAATAACCATGAGCAGAGGCCAGACTTTTGCATTAACTTCAGTAACACAAGCTTCTTTAAGCCAAATACATCACATGCCACTCTAACTGCTGTTTGATTTGCTTTTTATGAATTCTGTGTGTAGCGGTTTTGTTCACCTGTGTGTCATACTTTGGTGGGAGGCAGGGAGGTGGTAGATTTTCATGAGCTCATTCATGGAATGGTCAACAGTGGTAGCATCACATATAGGATGCATCCATTAGATAAGCAGGTCCCCCAAAGTCACCGGACGGGCTGGCCTCACTTCGATGCAAAGCAACAGAAACTAAGGACAGTAGTCCTCCCACCCAGAAACCGGAGACGACTCTGCGAGAGCTGGTGGCTGTCCTTCACACCTTGTTGCTGATACTGCCCAGAGCATGTAGCGAGTGCCTTGGAATTGAGTTATGCAGCACTAACCGAAGTTGCTAAGGATGAGACATGGCAACCTTCCTCATTTCTCGTTCGTATTCCACCACCACCCCCCCGCAGCCCCACTTCTTTTTTCCTTTTAGCCTTCAATCTATCAAACGCTTAGTCTCCTATAAAGAAGACAAGTGTCCTAGAGCAGATTCGGAATGGGGTCGGGCAGCCTCAGATGTACAGGATGGGGCTGGGGTGTAGACTTGCCAGTACCAGGGTGAGGGCAGTGGGTGGAGGGGTGGCTCGGGGACTCCATGTCTGGCTGACTCACGGGGCTGTGGTGGCAGACGGAGAGCCAGAAGCCTGCACCTGCTGAGTTGGGGTTTTGCCCAAAAACCCCTGTCTTTCTGTCTACCCACGGGGGACCCAGGGCACAGACTGGATGCTGACAGATTGGGAGGCAGCATGTGCTAGCGGAGCACTCAAGTACATCGGACGGGCCCACTCTCTACACGTTCCACTCTGGTTTGCTAAGAAACCATCAGGTTGCTTTACACAGTCCACAGGGACTCTGTTTCCAGATTGCTGAAATAATGAGCAGACAAGATAATGTTGCTTTCGTGCACTGGCTCTCAAAACTGCCTGCCCGCTGGTTTAGTCTCAGCATATAAAAGCAGGTTTACTGAGGGACTCCCCTCCCGTCCCCTGGTCACCTGTGGTTGCCCCTTCCTCAGGACCAACCAGTGTTGCCAGTTTCTTGGGTGTCCTTCCTGAAAGAGTTTATAAATATACATGCAGTTACGTAACAAAATATATTTTTTTCCTTTTTTTTTTTTTAACATAAATGGCAGCATACTATCTATGTGCCATTCTGTACCTTCCTTTTCTTAGAATACCCTGGAAATGACTCCACGGCAGCACAAAAGACAGTATGGGTCTTAACGCCCCCCACAGCATTTGGCAACGTCTGGAGACATTTTTGGTGTTTTGGTTGTCACAACTACTACTGGCATCTGCTGGGGAGGCTCCAGGGACAGTGCTCCCCATCCCACAATGCCCAGGACAGCGCCCCACAGCACAGGCTCTTCCAGCGGCAGATGTCATACAATAGTGCAAGGTGGGGGACTCCTGGCCTGCAAAATAAACTAGAAAATTGCGAGGCGAGGCAACGTAGGCCTTCATCCTGTGGCTACTGCTAGGGTCTCTGCTGGGGGCGGGAGGGGGGCGGTTCTACCAATTTTCTGGTTTTCGTTTAGTTACCAGGGCCCGCCCATACAAGACGAAGCCAGAATATCAAGGATGGGGTCTGCGGAGTCTAATCCACAGTGCCTTTATCATCCATGTTCTGGGACCCGGAGTTGACAGCGCTGGCTCGGACGACATAAGCACCGGGACTGATTTTTTTCTTCCGATGCCGTCTAACGACACAGCCCTAGGGTGGAGGGCTTGCTTAGCTGAAGGACCCACCAGCTCAAACCCCTAACACCCTTTTGGTGCCGTGAGAGGAGCCCTTTGTGCACGCTGAGTGAAATCAGAAGGGTGCTCCTACACGGCTATTTTCTGAGACGTGGGACATGGTAAGATTCTGCGCTGGAAATTTACAAAGCAAAGAGCCTATTTTTCTAGAACTGTTCTAATAGCTGACAGCAGTTTTAATATAGGGCCAGTTTCCTACCTGACAAAGAGATTCATACTCGCAATGCAAAAACCTGGTCACGAATGTGTTGAGTCTTGGTACTAAATTGTTTGCTTTGCACGAAATGTCCTGAATTTTAAGACCCTGAACTTCCAAAGATACAGCCAGTGATAAAAATGTTAACTGTCACTTTTTTGAAAACCATGTGACCAGCCTGGTACTTATTCAACGCCCTAGGAAGAAGTTAGAGTCGATATGATCCATGCAGCCCTCCTATAAACGGGAGGCCAGATGTCTAAGAGGGAGAAGACAAATCAGTCCATCAGAACCAGACAGAAACCTTTGCATGGACTTTTCTTCATTTTCATTTCACTCTCTTTGGAGCTTCATCCTTTCAAAGGGCTGGAAGGCTGCCATAAACCAGAACCCCATAGCCCTACAACTTTGGTTCTTCGCTTTAAATACCAGCCTCCCTGCCAAAAACAGGGAGGAGGAAAAAAGGCAGTCAGCATTTGGCTCAGGAATGGATCTCCATTTGTTCAAGGGTAGCTGGCTGCTGACCTAGACCACTGCTCACACTGGCTTTGGTATGAAGTTCTGGACATGCTCCCTGAATTCACTTTTCTATCCCATTTTTCTTTCCATTTGGCAGGCCCCTTATGCTATAGATATACAGATGGGAAAGATACGACTTTCCCAACAACCTGGCCAGATTCGGGTTCCCAGGAGTCAGAGCAATGCAAATGACTGTTGGTCACCACTTCTTTTTTGCCAACCCCTCACAATGGTCAATCCCAATAGACGGGAGAAAATGAGAATCGCAAAACAAGTTCTCTACTGCCAATTAAAAGAGAGTGGTGGCTCCGTACACGCGCCCTCCTGTATGGCTGCTGGCGAGGACGTGACTATTTCTCGAGCTCCGTACATAATGGGTCCTTAGAACTACAAGACAAAGAGGAGAAACTGTAGTATCAGCGTGTTCAGCTTATATCTGGGTTCCAGACTGGAAAGAAAACTTAACTCCAGACCCCATCACCACCAGCAAGTTTTATTCAAGCACTGGACGTACACTTTGCATAAAAGCCACGCATCTCTCTGAGCCTCTGTGGTGTTTCTGTCTGGGCCCTGGGGGCGCTGGTGAGCTGGGGGCGCTGGTGGGCCTCTACTTACTTCGGTCCCTCTTCTCCCTCCCCTTGGCTCTGTCATCTCTGAAGTCCCTCTCTCTCTCCCAGTCACTTTCTGGCCACACCCTGGGCTCTCTCTCCTGCCATCTCTTCTCCCGGCCACGGTCGTGGTCTCGATCCCTTGTCCGAGAGTCCCAGTGTCTTTCTCGGGACCGAGATCGCTCCCGCTTTTCCCTTTTTAGCTCTCTGTACTGGTCGTTTTTAACAACCGGCAAATTAATGGGTTTTCGAAAAGGCCGATCACGCCCCCCAAATCTCAGTTGCCCGGATTCCTTTTTCCCCCCCAGGCCTCCCCCAAGGCGCCGAGGGATCCACCCTTTGAGGGTCCTTTCCAGTTCGTAGTCCACAAATATCTCGTGCTGGTCGATAACCAGGCCGTCTGCGTCTCGGTAAGCTTTGATCAGAGAACGCTCCTCTTTGTATTCGATGAAGGCATAGCCCTTCGAAAAGCCCGTGACCAAGTCCCTCACCAGCCGAAGCCGCCGGATGTCCCCGTAGCGGGAAAATACTTCCTTTAACTTCTCCTCTTTGGTCTGCAAGTTCAATCTTGCCACAAACAGGGTGAGGAGGGGGTCTCCCATGACCCCTTTGTTGGGGGTGTACCGTGCCAACATTGCCCTCCAGACGGCGCGGTCGTGTGGGTCCTCATCGGTGCCGTCAATGCTGCCAGCTTTGAGCGGGTCATACTCCTTGGCAATGGGCATCCAATCGTTCATGTTCTAGGAGGGATCACAGCAAGCCTTTAGGGAGCACCTACTGCGAGCCAGCCATTTAATCCTTACAACAACCCTGTGAAGCAGATACAACTATTCACCCCTTCCTTCAATAGGGAAGGAAGCAGGATTCCCAGGACCTGAGGCCTCCCGGCTAGAAAGTGGGTAGAATGGGGATCAAAGCCAGACAGTGGGACTCCAGGATGCTCTCACCCACTGCTCCTCCGTCCCTTCCGGGAAGAAGCAGAAGGCAGCGTGCTTGAGTGTGATCCACCTGCATTATCAACCAGTTTAGTCACCTCAGGACACCTACCAACTACATTATAACGTGGAAATGTGGATCAACATCCACGCTTGCCTTTCCGACTTTAAAATGGCCCTGAGAAGGGGCACCTGGGTGGCTCAGTCAGTTAAGCGTCCAACCTCGTCTAAGGTCATGATCTCACCTTTTGTTGAGTTCGAGCCCCACCTTGGGCTCTGTGCTGACAGCTCAGAGCCTGGAACCTGCTTCAGATTCTGTGTCTCCCTCTCTTTCTTTGCCCCTCTCCCCTCCCTCCCCTGCTGGTGCTCTGTCTCTCTCTGTCTCTCAACAATAAATAAATGTTAAAAATTTTTTTTTCTTTAAATGGCCCTAAGACGGGGCACCTGGGTGCCTGGGTGGCTCAGTGGGTTAAGCATCCAACTTCAGCTCAGGGCATGATCTCATGGTTCGGTTCATGAGTTTGAGCCCGGCATCAGGCCCTCTGCTGTCAACGCAGAGCTCACTTTGGGTCCTCTGTTCTCTTTCTCTCTCTCTGCCCCTCCCCACTCCCAACATAAACAAATATTTAAAAAAAAAAAAAATGGTCACAGGAAAACTAGCCTGGAAACTGCTATGGAAAATGGTGTTTTTAAAAACTTTTCTACCAAGAATTTCAAACATGTAGAGAGAATGGTATAACCCTCCACAAACTCATCACCTGACTCTGACCAACACGTGCCCAGTCTTGTTTCACCTGTGCGGCAACTCACATCCCCACGCCTAGATTACTCTGAAGGAAAGTCTAGATATTACATCGCTCATCTGTAAATGCTTTGGTATGCATCATTAAAAGAATAGAAAGATAAGGACTTAAAAAAAAAAACTACAAGGGAAAATGGTGCTTTTAATGTAGTATTTTGCAACAGGTAGCAAAGCCAAAAAGCTACAGTGACTCAGCAGCAACAGGCTCCTTGGTTCAAAAAGGAATATGGGATTTCTTCCCAATTCCTTGGCTGATAATCTGTTTATGTCTCTAAGCATGGGAACTAATTGCAATGATAATCTTAGCCAAAAGCATAGTGCAATTGTCTTTCTGATACATGATAATTTTTTTTGAAAGAGGGTGGAAAGTTTAAGTTCAGAGGAGAGGCTAATACATGGTAATTGATTCACATTCTGGTGAATCTGCTGGAATAATCCACACTTGCCAACATTTCAAACACTGCTACCACTCATGTGACCACCTCTGTAAAACTTTAGAGCCAATACTGAAATATGTTTCCTTAAAACCAGGACTCCAGGGGTGCCTGGGTGGCTCAGGTCATGATTTCACAGTCTGTGAATTCGGGCCCCGCTTTCGGTTCTGTGCCGACAGCTTAGACCCTGGAGCCTGCTTCAGATTCTGTGTCTGCCTCTTTCCCTGCCCCTCCCCCTGATCTCTCTCTGAGAAATAATAAATGAGTAAATTTATAAAAACAAAAACAAAAAACCAGGACGCCAGGCACCTGGCTGACTCAGTCAGTAGAGCACATGATTCTTGATCTACATGTTGTGAGTTCAAGCCCCAGTCTGGGTGTAGAGCTTGCTTTAATAATAAAAATTTGGGGTGGGGGGGAAATAAATTAATTACATAAATAAATACAAATTTAGGGGTCCCTGGGTGTCTCAGTCGGTTGAGTGTCCAACTTCAGCTCAGGTCACAATCTCACAGTTCGTCAGTTTGAGCCCCACATCAGGCTCTGTGCTGACAGCTCAGAGCCTGGAGCCTGCCTCAGATTCTGTGTCTCCCTGTGTCTCTGCCCCTCCCCTGCTCACACTCTGTTATTCTCTCAAAAATAAACATTTAAAAAAAATTTTTAATAATAAAAATTTAAACATTTTAAAACTGGGACTCTGTCAAATTCATATAGTAACCCTCATCCATAACAACATCCTTTCATGATATTACTCATTAAAACATGGGGCACCTGAGTGGCTCAGTCTGTTTTCCCCAACACACAGTAAACACTCTTCGGTCTAGTGTCTGCTTCACTTTCTCTCCAGATTCTAGGCCACTGCCTGATAAACACTGGGGAACTGAATTAACTCCAATCAAAATTCAGTGAAGTTTTTCTTTTGTCCAAATCAGACAAAAAGGATGACTTCACTGCGAACTGAGAAGCAAAACAACTTTATACTGTCTGCCACCAGACTGTGAAAGGAGGGTATACATGCCTGTCCTCGCTGACTGGCACCTGTGGACGAGGCTTTGCTAAAAGAATGATAAACAGCTGGAGCAATGAGACATGAGAGGATTTCAGGCCCCTCGGGGCGCTGCCTCTAAGTCTTGTGTCTCTTCTCTCTCGTGGCTGTAATTTCTCCATATTTATGAATGCCATTTCCAATGAAGAATGAGAAACACAAAAAAGGCTTTCTTTTGGGGGGCGCTTGGACGGCTCAGTCGGTTGAGCGTCTCACTTTGGCTCAGGTCATGATCTCACCCTTCTGTCCGCACAGAGCCGGCTTTGGATCCTCTGTCCAACCTCTTTCAGCCCCTACCCTGCTCAAGTGCACGCGGGTGCTCTCTCTCTCTCTGTCTCTCTCAAAAATAAACATTAAAGAAAGTGAAAAAAAAAAAAAAAAAGGCTTTCTTTTGCCCCAAATCACAAGGCTAAGAAGGACCCCCACCCCACCACCAGTGGGAAAGAATCCTTTTCCCAATCAAGAAAAGGTCATAAATATCCACCAAATGAAACTGATATTATTCTACACCAGAGTTCCTGTTCAAAGCCTTAAGAATTCTTCAAATTAGGGGCGCCTGGGTGGCTCAGTCGGTTAAGCATCCGACTTCAGCTCAGGTCCTGATCTCATGGTTTGTGGGTTCAAGCTTCACGTTGGGCTCTGTGCTGACAGCTCAGAGCCTAGAGCCTGTCTTTGGATTCTGTGTCTCCCCTCTCTCTCTGACCCTCCCCTGCTCACGCTGTCTCTATCTTTCAGGGGAAAAGAAAAAAAAAAAAAACATTAAAAAAGAAAAAAAATTCTTCAAGTTAAAATCTGAAGAGAATAACAAAGGGATAATCTGAATTTCCTGATACTCCCTCATCTGTGTACGTCTGTCAATACTACAAAAGGGCACCTGGATGGCTCAGTCGTTAAGCAGCTGCTCCTGGTTTCAGCTAGCTTCATGATCTTGTGGTTCCTGAGTTGGGACCCCACATCAGGCTCTGTGCTGACAGTGCGGAACCTGCTTGGGATTCCCTCTCTCTCTCTCTCTCTGCCCCACTCTTGTTTGTGAGCTCTCTCTAAATAAATAAATTTTTTTCTTTTCTTTTCTTTTTTTTTTTTTTAAGTACTAAATGCCTAGAAACCAGCAGGCTTCATGGCTACTCACTCGTCTACCTGGGAGTATTCGCTCCTTTGCAGCATTATGTTGAGATTTCCCACAATTTCTTTGCATTTTTATTAAAAAAAAAAAAAAAGAAATTTTTACGTTTTATTTATTTCTAAGCCAGAGAGAGAGAGAGAGAGAGCGTGAGCAGGGGAGGGTCAGAGAGAGAGGGAGATACAGAATCTGAAGCAGGCTCCAGGCTCTGAGCTGTCAGCACAGAGCCCGACGCGGGGCTCGAACCCACGAATCGAAAGATCATGACCTGAGCCAGAGTCAGCCGCTTAACCAACTGAGCCACCCGGGCGCCCCATGGATTTTTAGATTCAGTCATTATTTCATAAACAGGGATGAGCTGTGAAAGATGAGTGGTGGGGGATGGAGGGGGATGGGGACAATTAATCATTAAAGACCAAAGTGTGGAAAGTGAACGAGAACGTTGGATCGGAGACAAAACACCAGGTTTAAGACCAAGGCCCACCGTGGGGAAAATTTAATCATCTGTAAAAGGTGGCTACATGCCACTCGACTACGTTTTTGTGAAGATTAGATAGAACAGTGTCCGTGAAGGTGCCCTATAATTATACATTATAGGTCCGTTAAGTAAGAAAACACCGAACAAAGGGTGCCTCTCCTTACTGTGTCCGCAGAGTTCGAATATTCGCGCGCTTTGCATTCAGGTGGGAAATAAAACTCAAGCCAGACCCACGGAACCCTCCCGAGCATGCGCGGTGGCGCCGTGGACGCTAAGGCGGAAGTCTGGGTGGAAAAGCCCACACCCCCCAAAACCCGGAGTGCCTTCGCCTTGACAGCGGGCCCTCCCCGACCTCTCACGTTTTCAGTGGGCGAAGGGGACAAGGGGCCCTTCTTCCACCCAAGCTGTAGCTCTCGCTCTCCGCAACACAAGCCAAAAAGGGCTCCCCGTTTGCCAGGCTTCAACATGGCGGCCCTTACAGGAGCGGACGCACTGTCCGGGCCGAATTCCCTCGTCCTTCCCGCCGGAGTGGGCCCTGCTGCCACCAAGCCGCTCCCACTCACCTCAGAAAGGCGTGAGACTCCCTTCCCACCGAAGTTAGCACCAGACTCGAAGCGCCGGTAGATTCCTCTCGCCCGTCTGAGCGGAGCTTTATATTCGAAGAAGCAGATTCGCCACGGGCAGTGATTTTTTTTTTTTTTCCCCCAAAAAACTTAGTCCACGTGTATTGAGAGTCGACTGTACATCATCCCCGAAGAGAATGAGCTTTCCATTTTTCTGATTGTTTTGCACGAAGATAGAAACTACTAAATTGAACACTTAAGTTGAAAGAGTATCGAAAGTGCAGTTAGTTGTCTGGGCGTGGCCGAATCGCCCTCCGCCGCGAAGGGATCTGTCCGCGCAGCGGGAGTGTCAAGTCTCAGACGCACGTTAGGAATTGGCTTATATTGTAGTGTCTTCAAAAGATGCGTGTGCTGGTTCACGCCAAAGAAGAAAAGGGGTCACGGAAGGGTTGACAACCCTGACTCCATCTTGCGACAGCCACCATTTTGTGGAGTTCCTCGAGGAGCAGCCACCTCTTGGAATCATGATAAACATTCCGAGGTTTGAACACCGGAAAGTTACCCTCGTCTCACAATACTGAGCAAAAGAGTCAACCGATCACTGGGTAACCCATACCAACTGAAATTTCTCCCTTGCTGGGGTTTTAAGCTTTAAAAACACCTCTGCGGGGGCACCTGAGTCACTCGGTCGATTGAGCACCAGACTTCCTCTCTGGTCAGGATGTCGCGATAGACGAGTTCGAGCCCCGCGTCGGGCTCTGTGCCGACAGCTCAGAGCCTGGATCCTGCTTTGGATTCTGTGTTTCCCTCTCTCTGCCCCTCTCCCATTCATGCTCTGTCTCTCTCTGTCTCAAAAATAAACATTAAAAAAAAATTTTTTTTTAAAAAAAAACACCTCTGCAGACGGGCACACCGACTAACTTAGACGCCTTTCCCAGTTTGCAAACCCAAAGAAATATTTGACTCCTTTTTCATCGCTTATAGGCTCGCTCCTGAGGTTTTCGCTTAACAGCTTGGAGCCGAAGATGGAATATGAAGGGACCTTGGCACCTCCTGCAAATCTCTGGACCTGCCTAAACGAGGCCCACAGCCCAGTGTTGTATCTCTTCCGGTGGCTCCTATAATCCCGGACTGGGAGTGGGGGATGACAGGTACGTTCCATTCACATCCCCAACCACCCACTTTGGTAGAATTTGGGAGACTTTTCTGCTAGCAACTCAGGGAAAGATCCCTTCAATACAGAATAGGTACCAATCTTGCAGAAAGAGCTCGTGGGGATCAGCCATCTGGTTGTATATATAGAAACTAGGGCCCAGGGAGTTTCCTCCACCTGGGCACAAATCACTAAAGGTCATTTATTTAAAACTTCACCGGTCCCTTTGGGGGCACCTTTGATATCCCTAAATTCGTGTATTTAAGAGCACAGTTGGAAAGGTGAAACTATCATACTTTACAAAATCAATGGAAACCTGTTTCTATGGGTACTTTTGGAAGTAGTCCCCTAAAGAACAGACTCAGTATAGCCTCTGCAAAAGGGAAAAAAAAACAAAAACAAAAAAAAACCCTCAAAAATCAAAGAAAGATTAAAACGATGAGAACAACTCAATCCCAAATCAAAAATGACCCACTCATCTTCCATCCAGTTTGCTGCCCCCCACTGCATGCCTTCTATTTCCTCCGCTGTGTATGCAGGTCTTTCCAGACTGACTTATTCTCCTCTGAAATGTCTCCTTCCCCAGCCCTGCCTCCATCTACACTCCCAAAACTAACATCATAGCAAAGTCAAAGTTACTAGCCCTAATCCCAATAATCTGGTCCTTTCTTTCATCCTCTGATGAACTTCTAAATCTTGCAAGACTTTCCTGATCCAAAAGAAAATCCAGAAGAGTTCACGTCACAACTTATTTGGACTATCAGTGCCTATAATCCAGGCCCTTCTGACCTTTACCAACTAGTACGCATGCTTGTTGGACCTATACAGGCCCCAGAATGGACGAATAAGGCTGCACGGGAAGACCCCCTATAGGATTTTAAATTTCCACATAATGAGGCCCCAGGAAAAAAAAAAAAAAAAAACCTCTGATACAACTGCACATTTAGTCAAAATGATCCTCCATATCTGGAGAGCTCAAAATAAATTAGAAAGCAGTACAAATAGATAAATAAAACCTTGGACATTTCAAAAAGGTAACATATAAATGATGGCTCCAAAAGAACAAAAATCTCAAAAACAAATCCTTTATCAGATTAGAGATGTGCCAAGGACAAAAAGGGGAATTTTCCCTTTCTCTTAGCAAACACTTATAACACGTCAGAATGAAGATGGTTTTATTCTTACAGACACTAGAGCACCTTATTCAGGCCTCAATCCCAATCTGTTTTCCAGTCCCCTGCCTCAAGAATACATTTAACCATGATCAGGGTCATTAATCAGCCACCAACTATCCACATTATCTCAACCCCTAGAGTTTATTCTTGGCACTCAGCAAGGCAACCATTCCTTTTTATTGGTGCCCTCATCCTCAGCACTTCCTTTTTTTTTTTTTAAGTAGGTTCCATGTCCAATTTGGGGCTTGAACTCTGGACTCCGAGATCAAGAGTCACTTGCTCTACGGACTGAACCAGCTAGGCACACCACCACTTTTCTTAGGAAGAAATTTTTTGCAGGCTCACCAGACCCATATTTCCTTTGACCAAGAAAATAGAATGCTATTAGATCTGCCTTCTCAATCTTCAGAATTCCTAATTCTACCGATCTGCTCAGGACTGCCCTCCAGTCAGTCTGCTGCCCGCCCCATTCCTAAATGCACTCCCTGATCAATTGTGGGCCACCTCTTCCCCTGATATAGGACATATAACCTTGGTTCCCCAATAACTATTCAAATTGATCCATTAAAGGCCTTACCCAATATTAAGCAGTACCCGTTAAGCCTTATGGCCATTATAAGAATAACTCCTGCTATTCAAGACTTTATCAACAAAGGATTGATCATCTCCATTACTAGTCCTTGTACCCCCATTTTTCTAGTTAAAAAGCCCCATAATAGAAGAAGGTATCTTGTGCAAGACTTTAGGGCAATTATCAATACAGTCACACCCTGACACACATTGCTTCTGACTCCCACACCCTCCTCTCTATTACACCAGCTGCAGCCACTACTTTTTCTGTCGTTGCCCTTGTGCAGTGCCTTTTTCAGCATCCCTGTCGACCCCCAAAGTCAGTGTCTTTCTACTTTTACATGGAACAGTCAACAACCCACTTGGATAATCCTACCCCAGGGATATACTGAAAGCCCTACCTATTTCTCTCAGACCCTCTATGCTGACCTACAAGATCTTGATTTCCCTGGGATATCTACACTTTACAATATATAGACAATTTATTATTATGTTCTACCCTAAAGGCCTGTGGTACTGACCCTAAATGCCTTCTGAAACAATTAGCCAGCAAAGGACACAAAGTAGCTAAAGATAAATGGCAACTCTGTTCTGCCTCAGTCAAATTCCTAGGCCACCTTTCTGCCAGGTGGGCTAAAAATAGAACCAGACAGAATTACTACCTTCACCCAGTTCTCTCAACCCCAGACCAAAAGACAATTACACGGTTTCCTGGGTCTTGCTAGATACTGTTGCCCTTAGATTCCCTTTTATTCTCTCAGCTCAACCCTTATAATAAGGCTTTGATACTTCTACCACTCCAGACTCGATCCCATCTTCTTAAGAGGCCCCCCCATTTTTTTTAAGTTTGTTTATTTAAGTAATCTCTATACCCAATGTGGGTGCTTGAACTTGACCTGAGATCAAGAGTTGCATGCTCTTGGGGCACCTGGGTGGCTCAGGTCATGATCTTGCAGTTAGTGAGTTTGAGCCCTGTGTCAGGCTCTGTGCTGACAGCTCAGAGCCTGGAACCTGCTTTGGATTCTGTGTCTCCCTCTCTCTCTCTGCCCCTCCCCTGCTTGTGCTCTGTCTCTCTCTCAAAATAAATATAAAAAAAGAAAAAAAAAGTTGCATGCTCTTCCGACTGAGGCAACCAGACACCTGCCTTTATATCTTTAAAAAACAGGGACGCCTGGGTGGCTTAGTCAGTTAAGTGTCTGACTATGGCTCAGGTCATGATCTCACTGTTCATGGGTTCAAGCCACACATTGACTCTGCACTGTCAGTCCAGAGCCTGCTTGGGATTCTCTCTGTCTCTTCCTCGCTCACGCTTTGTCTCCCTCTCTTTCTTTTTCTTTTTTTTTTTTAATTTTTTAATGTTTTATTTATTTCTGAGAGAGAGAGAGACAGCGTGAGCAGGGGAGGGTCAGAGAGAGAGGGAGACACAGAATCTGAAGCAGGCTCCAGGCTCCAAGCTGGCTGTCAGCACAGAGCCCGATACGGGGCTCGAACCCACGAACCGTGAGATCATGACCTGAGCCGAAGTCGGACGCTCAACCGACGAAGCCACCCAGTTGCCCCTGTCTCCCTCTCTTTCTGAAAAACAAATACATAGACTTAAAACAGCAACAACAAAAAAAGCTCATCTCTTCTCCAACTCTAGGACACCCTGATTACCAAGTGCCTTTTTTCCTTTTTGTCCATATGAACATCCTTTCCCAAAAGCATGGAGGCCTACAATGCCCCCTTGGATATTATCGTCTTCAGTTAGACCCTGTGGCCAAAGGTTCACTTCCCTGCCTCTGTGCCTTAACAACCCCCCTCTATACTCATTACTGCCACCAAAAACTGAATACTAGATTCTCCCCCTACAGGTATTAGGCCCACATACAATTAAAACTCTCTTAGACCCGCACCACACACAACCCGTATCTGCCAGTTGACTTAGAAAATTTGAACCCTGGTTTCTTGCGTCTTCAAACGTTTTAGTTTCACTGTCCCCCTCTCAATCCTTCTATCTTATGTCCTTTACCCCTCAAAAACTCAACTGAACACAGCTGCATCCTTGTAACTGACTCATTACTTACCCCTTGATTAGAACTTCATGAAGTTCCCTTCCCAAATACAGATTTCGGGATTCTCTCTCTCCCTCTCTCTCTCCTCCCCTATTTGCTTGTGTCCGCACATGTAGCACTCTCTTCCCTCTCTTAATAATAAATAAAATCTTTTAAAAAATACGTATTAAAACTACTTGATACCATTCTCCTTCCCTCCAGCTTAGCTATTATAAAACTTCAAGCCCATTTCAAGCTAGATACCTCTGAAGCCAAGGGCGATCATGATGCTGACCCGGCCACCAAAGATGTGACACTTTAAACTTCTGACTCACAAATGTCCATCTGTATGACACATAGGACACAAATAAAATGGTCCTATGGGCACAATACTATTGACAGCCAACTCCAACTATTGCCCAACAGGTATTTCAAAATGTACAATTTAGCCCCTTGCACAATCCTAGGAAACCATATCACACTGCATTGGGTCAAGTTCCTCTTCTCAGTGGGCCTTTTGACATCTGGCAAATTGATTTCATCCAGTTTTCTCAATGGTAATGATCTGTATGTTTCTCACTGGACCGAGGCATTTCCTTGCAACCAAGCAATTGCAAAAACAGTGGCCAAAAACCCATTAGAAAAAAATCATTCCCAATTGGTGTATTCCTTGACAGCTACACGGTGATTAAGGAATACATTTTTTCTGGTCAAATTGTCTGAGAGATCTGTCAAATCTGGCCATCTTTCAACATTGTCATCGCTCCTACCATCCTCGATATTCAGAGGAGCAGTTGAACACTCTAAGCACAATCAAGACTCAGTTGGCCGAACCAACCTCTGCCT